TGCCACCGGGTGGGGCTGCCACCCCAGGAGGCCTTGTGTGTCGTGGGGGACAGAGGCCTACGCGTGGCTCCGCACTGCGTTCTGAGGGCTGTGCCTCGGGGAAACACAGGCTGAGGCCCTGGGGCCACGAAGCAGCTTCCCTTTGAATCCCCACCAGGCACCAGCTGGTCAGTTCTACAGAGCCGACCACAGAGCGGAAAGGGTTTATTCAGAGACCCCCTCGCACGCGTGCATCTTACAAGTGTGACCCGCCTCGTGTTAACCTCCAGAATAATTCTGGCCGTCTTCCCACTCAGAGAGCCACACCTGAAAATCAGCTCTTATACCATGATGCGAACGCACAGGCCTCGGGCACTTCAGACCGGAAAGAGAACAGCACAAGTCACTTTTTCAAACGGAAAACGCTGGGTCAAAGGTAACTTTGCTAATTCTTTCGGCCTTTCTGCATTTGTGGTAGCGTGGCTTTGCTCCTCTGGGGTTAAATGTGCAAACGTGTATTAACTTTTCTAATTTTATGAGACGGGCTTTAGTTGGGGAGCCGAGCCTCTAGAGTTACGAGCCCAAAGAGGTAATTGTTGGAGAAATGACCTAATACATCACAAATCCCTCTATTTCCATCCCTTCAAATGGGATACCAAAAGCGATTAAAGACTAAAAACATATCACAAGCAAAGTCACATGACAACATTGCTGTAATCACTCTCTGCTGGATTAACCAGGGCCCAGGGGCCTCTGCGCCGAGACTGCAGTGGGCGCCCTCGCGGATGCCAAGGGAGAGGCCAGGCTGGCCGTGCCGGTCGGAGTGATGGTCGGTGCATTTCCCCCATCATTTCAGGAAAGCAGTATCTGTCCTTTATGAGGCAGAACCCCTTCTGTGAACGTTCCCAACCTGCGAGGAAATAAGACGGGCGTATCTGGCAAAGCTAGGGTCGGATTACTCCTAAGGGGAAGCAAGGCTCCCCAAGGAGTCTTCTGTGAAGAAGTGAAAAGGAAATCCCACCTTTGGGATGAAATCAACAAAATGAAACGGTGGAAGCCACGTACCTGGTACTTGCGGGCCTGTGTATGAACTCGCGTGGGCTGGGTGCCCTTTGCGTGGTCCATACCCCCGGTCCTTGGGGGCAGAGCCAGGTTTGGGTAGAGTTCTGCCCCCAGAGTCTGGGTGCCATTACTGGAAACCAGGGATGCTGCTTTAGGTGCGTGAATTTCCTACCGGGGAAAACAAAGATCTTTGGGCACCATCTGAACCGAAAGCGCTGGGGCCACGCCGGTCACGTGGGTTAGTGAATGAAGATGGGGTGCAGGACCCTGGCGGGGCAACTTGCCTCCTCTGACCCCGGCCAGGGACCCCTACGGAGCCACTGGGCTTGAGAAGGCTGCCCCAAGCCCCCAGGAGCCAGGCTTCACGGGCTCATAACCTGAGCGTGAAGGAGTCTTGGTCTGAGAGTCACTCAAGCAGCAGCCAGTGTGCCGACCCCTTCATTTGTGGGGTCAACAGAGGAAGAGGCTCTGTTGGCTCAAGGCAATCCCTTGGCCAGAGCGGAGAGGACCCCACAGTCACTCCACTGGCTCCCTAGGTGTGGGTGTGGCTGGCTCGTGCAAGGCTGACGCACTGGGACCAGCGACTAGTAGACACACGGCTTCCACTCTTGGTAGAGAAGTCACGGTGGTTCTTGCTGCCTGCCCCAGCCCCAGCGAGATCTGGTGACCCAGGACTGAGTGACTAGGACAAAGCCTTCCCTATGTGTCTTGCGCTACAATGTATTCCCCGACTTTGCGGAGGTTTCCTGCTCGTTATTCGAATGCACTTTGAATGGTTTGCGTTTTTACCGTCTAGAGCTGCTGTCTCCACTGGGGCGGCCACAAGCCACACGTGGCCGCTGAGCACTTGAAGTGGGCTGTTCTGAATCGAGACGGGTTCTGAGTGTGAGACATCGGATTCTGAAGGCTCGGTCCAAAAAGAGAACGTGAAAGATCTCCTAATAATTAAAAAATATTGAGTGCATGTTGAAATGATAATAGTTGGCCTATGTTGGAACAAATAAAAGTCATTAAAACTAATTTCATCTGAGGCTTCCCTGGTGGCGCAGTGGTTGGGAGTCCGCCTGCCGATGCAGGGGACACGGGTTCGTGCCCCGGTCCGGGAGGATCCCACATGCCGCAGAGCGGCTGGGCCCGTGAGCCATGGCTGCTGAGCCTGCGCGTCCGGAGCCTGTGCTCCGCAATGGGAGAGGCCACAGCAGTGAGAGGCCCGCGTACCGCAAAAAAAAAAAACAGAAAACTAATTTCATCTACTTCTCTTTCCTTTTCTTAACGTGGCCACCAGAAATTGTAAGATTCCACACGTGGCCGGCACTCTCCTTGTTGCGGCAACCCCGGTTTAAAGGGCTCTCGTTAATATCTTGTTCCTCTGAGAACAAGCTGTGTCAAATCCTAGCTACTAGCAAAGCTCTTTCGTACTTAATTCCTCCCCCAGTGCTGGAGGGGGGCGAGCTCTGGGTTAGGTGTGGGGTGATGAATTTTTTCAAGTTCATTCACAGCAATTCGTGCCACCCCTGTAGGAGAGCAAGCTTTCAGGGAAAACACCAGAACCCCCATCAGAAGTTTCCAGAGAGTCTCTGGCAACAGAGACAGGCAGCGCCAATAGGCACCCCTGGTTGGTTATACTTGGGGCGGTGGGGAGGGGGCAGTCAGACCTTTCGTGCTGGGAATGTTCTTCCAATGTCTAGGTTGTCTTAGAATGAGGAGTTTGCTGTGCAAACTTGGGAGAGGCCGAACGCCATTTATTTTGATGCTCCAGGTGAGTT